TGGGCCTGTGCAGGGCCAGGAGCTGGACTCGAAGATCCTTGTGAGTCCCTCAACTCAGCATATTCCATGACTCTCTGACTCTGTGCAGACATGCAGCAGCTCTGGGCCCTGCCCTGGTGGGGGACAGGATGTGACTCCCCTGAATGTGTCCCCTGAAGCCTTGGGGACACTGGGAGCCCACAGATGAGCTCCAGGGGGTGGCAGCAATGACGCCTCTAGTCACCATCCATGGCTTTTGCTTTGCCCAAAGGTATGACCGGAGCAGGCTGTCCCTGAAGGAGATCACCAACGTGCAGTACGTGTCCTGCATGAACCCCACTGCAGGGAGCTTCACCATCAACCCCCGCCTGCAGGTACAGCCCCGCACGAAGGCACTGCCCGTGGGTGAGCTTGGGGTGGATTGTTCAAAGTGAGGCTTGAGGAGAACCTCTGGCAGATCCTGCTGTTATTTGATCAGTAGGAACATCCTGGATCTGTTGAGTGACTAACTCCTGATGAAGAGGCAGCGAACTTGCTGCCTTTTCCTCTTCTTCATATTTGCTCTCATTCTGCTCTTCAGTGGGAGGAAGAAGTCCCAGGTTCCTGGCCAGCCACACCCACTCTCAGGAAACCTTCTGGTTCAGACAAGCCCATTCTGCCTGCATTAAGCTGACATTTACTGCTGGGGCACAGTTCATTAAAGCTTTTTGGTGGTCAGGCATTGCAACTGGCTACCCAAGGGAATGGGGTCACCATCCCTGGAAGTGTCCAAAGATGAGTAGATGTGGCCCTTCACCATATGGTTTAGTGGGGATTTGGGAGTTGGTCAAAGTTGAACTTAATGATCTTGGAGGTCTTTTCCAACACTAATGATTCTATAATCTCCTTGCTCTTTGCAAGTTCCAAATCAATAAAGGGTCTTCTGGGAGGTGGCACCTTCCAGGGGCTGCTCTTACCAGAGACAAGACTGGGTTTTGTCAGGGTTCAGTGGGACCTTCAGACCTTACAGCTCTTCACTGGACTGAGCTTGCAGTGTAGCCATCGTGAAACGCCATTGGAAATCCCTTGTTCAGTGAGCAAAAGGTGTCACTTGCCAACTGTCCTTTGCTGGGAAATTGGAAGGGGGAGATGGTTCTGGTGGGAACATAGAGCATCTCAGGTTGGAAGGGACCTCGAAAGATCATCTGGGCCAACCTTGCCTGGGAAGTGGAGCCCAGATGAGTTTATCCAGCACTGTGTCCAACCACATCAAGTCCTCACAAGGCATTTGAGCTGGGAGGTCACTGCCCATCTCTCTGACCTTTCTGTGTTTCCCTTTCTCCTCCTCAGCGTCACTTCTGTGTCTTCGCTCTCTCCAACCCTGACCAGGATGCCTTGGCCAGGATCTACAGCACCATTTTGGTGCAGCACCTGACCAGTGGGAATTTCTCAGAGGCTGTGCAAAAATCAGCCCAGCAGCTAATTGCCCTCGCCCTGGGGCTGCACAGGAGGGTGGCTGCCACCTTCCTGCCAACAGCTGTCAAGTTCCACTACGTTTTCAATCTGAGAGACTTCTCCAATATCTTCCAAGTAAGTGCAGTCCCTGTCTGTGGCACTTGGAGCTTGTTCCAGTGCAGTGGCTGTTGGTGAGTGTGATGGACCTGAGCTTGTCTTTGTTAGTCTCAGCTCCACTCGTGAGTATGGGGTTGATGGCACCTCTCCACCACACAGGGACATCATTTACTGTGTGGAGCAGTTGGTGGATACTTTGTGGGCTGCTGGCCCTGAAGAGAGGAGAGCAGTGACTGGTTCAGCTGCTCTGCCAGAGCCAGGACAGCTTGGTGGCCTGTACTGTCATGTCCTCTCAAGTGCTCAGCATTGTGTATGCAGGATGGCATTTAAAGAGCTGATAAATCACTCTAAACCAGCTTTGATTTAATCACTGAAACTGAATTACCAGCCACTGTACCAAAGGGAAGTTGTTCAGCTTTAGAGATGTTTTCTTCCGCCATTGGAGAGATCCTGGTTTTGTGTTTTCCCCAGCAACCTCGAAGCAGTAGGTGTTAGTGCTCAAAGAGCCCTTCAGAATTTCAGGCTGATAAATGAAATTAGAGAAATTTCTCAGCAGCCAAATCGAGGGGTTTGAAACACCACAACCTGTTCTAAACCCCCAGCT